GTTGGTACAAAACTGAGTAGTCTCTTTCTGACCAGAGCTTCTTGTGTTCCCTCCTCATTGAGGTTATGAAGATCCTCAAAACGATTTGCAGTTTTTACAGTTGGTGGCACAAATTTCTTGAAATTAGGTAATGTCTGCTTATTTAAATCTACTTTTGCTTTTTGCAGCTTTTATTATTTACTGATGAGAATAGTCCGTCAGTTTTATGTACGTAGGTCGTACCGAAAGTCGATGAGCAACATTTTTTTGCATGCAACCTGGCAACAGTAGATGAAGGAGTACGGTTGTAGGTGGAACCAGCTGTTGTGTTAACCTTGAGTGTCTTGTGATGTCAATAGCTTGCATCACATGACCAGTATCACTCCTAACACAATGGCCAACACCCATATGTCATTTTGCCAGCGTGCTTTCATCGAATTTCTTGGAAAGAGCAAATCCCTGCTGCTGCAGAAATTCACCAGAGACTTCAGCGTGCTTATGGAAGTGTGTGCATGGGTGTGAGCAGTGTTCAAAGATGGGTGAAACAGTTTAAAGATGGGAACACCAGCATCGAAGATGAGCCTTGGAGCAGTTGTCCTTGAACAGCCTCAACTGAACGCAACAAGGAAAGAGTGGATGAGATCATTCAAGATGACAAGCATGTGACTGTCGACATATAGGCCAAAAACTTGAAATAGGTCACAGTGCGGTACAGGAGATGATTGAAAGCTTGGGCTATAGGAAGGTTTGTGTTCGTTGGGTCCCGCGGTTATTGACCGAAGACTGCAAAGGTCACATTGGAAGTAATTGCAAAGATGGGGTGGGAAGTTCTTCCACACCCCTCCTATAGCCCTGATCTGGCACCCTCAGACTACCATCTTTTCGGATTTGTGAAGGATCAGCTGCATGGACAACATTTTGAGACAAGGGAGGCAATTCAGAAAGCAGTGCATCAGTGTCTTTGGATGGCTGGAATGGAATTTTACAGAAGGGGAATTTTCAAACTCCCAGAACGCCAGGAGAAATGTGTACAAAGAAGTGGCGATTATGTGGAAAAATAAAGAAAGGTCTGTAGATTGAGGTGGTGTATTTGGTTTGCCAATAATAAATAAAGCATGTTACTTTACAAAAAATTGTTGCTCATGACTTTCAGTACTACCCTCATACATTCATCAGACATGCACTGCCCGACGTATTGTCTTGCACAAGTTCTCCCTTTAAAGTGTTCATATCTTCTTGCAGAAGAGCAATAATTTGACATGCAGATTTCAATTCCTGTGACACAGCTTGGAGTTCTACATTCAGTAATACACAATTAACACAATTTATATCGCTTCTACCATTTGAAAACTCGTGATTAGCTACACTATGCTCAGCACTCATAACCACATCCGCCAACTTGCTCCATGTCCATAACAGTATAAGTGCTAACATTTTGTAATGATATGCCCATAACAGTGAACAGAATCAACATGTATCATTTTTCTGTTTTATATGGTTAGTGGTAGATTTTTCTCCTGTCCCATCTTTCTTCCCACATGCTTCCCTTTTTTTCCTTCCTAGCTTTTTCTGTCTTCCAATACCTGGTTAAACCATTTTGTTATGTCTCCTCCCTTTACATTTTAATTCTACGGCTTTCTTGGTATCCTTGTTCTCTCCATTGCATTAACATGGCCTGTTCATTGTAATTGTTCTTTTCTAACCCTGTTAACAAATCTTGAATTCTACCTTTTGTAAATAAATGTAATTTATAATTCTATTCCTTCTTGTCTTTTTCAGTACTTTCCAAAAATGTTGTGTTCATTGCTTGCATTTTACCTTTGTTTTTCTCTGTATGGATCTAGGTTTGAGGTGTGTATGTTAGTACTGTTTTAAAACAAAATCAGTGTTGTAAGATTTGGTGTTTTCACGGTTGTGACAATGAAGAAAGCAGTCTTCTGGGATGTGGCGCTGTGTAAATATTATGTTAACTGACGTTTTGGAGGAATGCATTGCCTCTATCTTCAGGATAGAAGAAAAAAGAAGAAAATTTGCAACCGAAATGTTGGTTAACACTATGTACACAGCACCATATCCCAGAAGACTGCTTTCTTCAAAACTCAATGCTCTTTCACACTGTTTTGTGATCTTTTTGGGATCTCTGTTCTGTGGTCTAGTGGTCAGAATTCCTGGCTGCAGGCTACATGGCTGAGGGGTTGGAGTTGGAAATCCCAGTAGGTGTGAGATTTTTCTCTTCTGCACATCATCCAAATTGGTTCTGTGGCCCACCCAGCTTCCTATCAAATAGGTACAGGGGTTTCTTTCCCAAAGGGTAGAGCAGCCGGGGTGTGAATCTGTCCATTCACCTCAAACTAGGGCCAAGGTCAATACATGGCTGTATGTGGTCTGACAATAAAGTTCGCAAACTCATCGTGGTAGAAGTGCTGCATACCTCATTATGAATATCACTGTGGTCACTTTCAAAGTGCTCCTGTTGGAAAGCTGTATATGAATGTCAGTGCCTAGTGCACCCTTCGAAACAATTTTGGAATTGGTTTTATGGAATGGCCTTCAGAGGTGCCGTTGTAGTACTCCTGATGTCATCAGTGTCATCAAAATGACTTCCTTTCAGTATTTCCTTTATCTTCGGGAACAGAAAAATGTAATTGAGGCTAGATCCGGTCAATTAAGGAGGGTGTTCCAGCACAGTTATTTGTTTACTAGCTGAAAACTCCCTCACAGACAGTGGTATATGAACAGGTCTTTTGGGACCATTTTTGCACACACCTTCCTCTTCAGTTAAGATTTTTCTAACTGTTTCTCGGTTGGTGTTTGCTTGTACTGCCATGGTCCTGACTGTCAGTTGACGATTTTCATGCACAATTTGGTGAACTTTTGCAGTGTTTTCTTCAGTTCTGCTTGTTGTTGGCCGTCGTGATCTCCCCTCAACAGTGACACATTCTCTTCCCCCAGAAAAATGTATCACCTACTTGTAAACTGCTGTTTTCTTCATAACATTATCCCTGTAAACATGCACTAACATCTCTCTGATTTTGCTTATACTCTTGCCAAGTGTAACAAGAAATTTAATGTTCGTTACAACATTCTCGTGACAGCACACCAAAACACACTCAGGCAATAATAGACACCACTCAGAAAGAGACTGCCATAGATCAAGAACAACACAGCTATGAAACACTGATATGGCAACATAATCAAACTATACTGAGGTTTCTGTCCACTGCTGCCATGGCAAGTACATGGTGGTGAGTTTGTGAACTGTATTGTTAGACCTCATACATCCTCTCCCCCATAGGTCTTCATGGTGTTGTGCTTAATTAGTTGAGCACAGGGACAACTTTACCTTTTTTACAGCTACTAATGTCGCTTGTTACTATATATGTACTCATCCACCAAAATTTGAATAATCCTGTTGAGAATTAGTGCTCTACTAAAAAGAAATTTCACCGAGTGAAAGCTACTTCCAGTTACCTTTGCAATTTATCTTTTTTTTGTAAACTTCAGCACAGCTCCACAAACACTACTTAACATTGATTTGTGGGTGGAGATTGGGCAGTGCACTAGCATAAGGGCTAGGTTGCTGTTAGAATTTTTACTTGGTGTTACTTACAGTATAGCATTCCCAATCCATGGCATGTGCTAGTATTTGCTGTTTCAAGTGTAAAATTGCATCTGGTTTGCCCAGAATCACAAAGACATTAAGTGTTCATGATTTGCTTTTGAGTGTTAGCTGCTAGGAAGGTGGGTAGAGTAATATGGTTTTGTTCTCTCTCCCCCCTTCCTAGAAATGCCTGTAGCCAACTTCAGTATGCCTGGCCAGCTGTACCTTTAAAAGCACAACTTCTCGTGTGGTGTTTTATCAGTTTATAGGGGCACCTTTATGAGTTCATGCATTGTGACTCTGTTTTTCTGTGATAAATTTGTTATTTTGAAATGGGAACTGCTAGGGGCCAAATATTTGGGCTTCTCCAAAACAAACTGTTCGCATGTGCACTGTGCTGATCTTGCTAATCTTGTTTTAACACAGTTTGTATAAGTGTATGTTAGTGTCTGTCTTTCTGTAATATATTCTGGTACTCTTTAACGTTTTTAAGCTTGCTCAGATCATGTTCTGATTTTAGATTGTGATGTGATTTTCAAAATCTATAAGTGAAGTTACTGTATCCACTTTGAATTCACAGTATTTCTGAATTCATAGTTTCCTTTCAAGGGTCAGGTCTGTCTCTGATCTTTCCCAGTGAAATGTGTGTTGCTGCTCATTAAATGTTCCTTTTATTATTGTTTACATTTTATTACTTAAAATTAATTGTTAATTGATCATTATTCCTCTGTAATTATGGCAGAGTTTCTTGTCTCTGCAAAATGTTATATCGGGAAACAACTTAATGGAATACAATTTCTTTATTAAAATCTGTCACAACACAACAATATCAAGGTCAAGGCCAAGATTGGCTCCTACTACATGTTTCAGCTATTAAAGCCATCATCAGGCAAATACGTGATTAACATATTCACACCAGTGAACTGTAGTACTGGTAAAACTGGATACATTATAATATTACATTATAAAATGCTTGGCATAAAAGTACAATGAACTGGACTATATAGAAACGACAGTCATAGGGTAAAACAAGGTTAAGACTCTTTGAATGATGTTTTATATCATGAAGTCATTTGTCGGTTGTTGCAATTTTTATATTCCCCACGGATGTAACTGTATATTCTGGATATTGTGTATATGTAATAAACTGCTTTGGAGGCACGTGGTATGGATGTAGTATAGTATTGACGTTAATTGTTTAACCAGCGCCTCATCTTACAGTGTGTTTTTCCATTCTGTAGGGAATATAAACTGTAACTCAGTCGGCAGCCGAGCCAGTCTTGGCCTTGACCTTGATATTGTTATGTTGTGACGGATTTAATAAATAAATTGTATATTATAACACAACAGTATGCACGAAATGAAAGCGTATTGGAATGGTGTTGTCATAGCAGTGAAGGGGTTACTTGTGTGATGATAGGTATCTCAGGGGCTGGAGCGACTGAAAGGAGCTCTTTTCCAGCGACCTCCACTGATTGCAGCTGTGAAGAGACAGTTACGTGTGAGAACCATTTATGAGAGCAAGTTGTTAGAATATGACATGGAGCGCAACATGGGTGAGTTCTCCTGGTGTCACCTGGCTTATTGGTATGACTTGTAAATAAATGACTAATGAGTGTGCATCATTGCAGGTATCTTCTGGGTGAAGTGTGAGGCTGGAACATATGTACGCACAATGTGTGTACATCTGGGGCTACTGCTTGGAGTGGGGGGACAGATGCTGGAGCTTCGGCGTAACAGATCAGGTGAATGGTTAACTTGGCATATTTTGAGTTATTACATAAAAGGTAAAGCTCCGGTTCACAAGGGTATAATGTTGGCGTGACATTGAAACTCACATTCTGAACCTTATTGTGGACACTAGATTGAAGTGAGTGGTCAGACAGAAGTGGTAAATGAATTATCACATGTTGTACAGTTGAAATTTAGAAGGACTGTTATCAGTAGAATTGATAAAAATGTACAAAATTTGCTTCATTCATGTCTTCTTCAAAGCTGGTAAATGTGTCTTGTTCATAGCCTCAGTATTGTGAGAATTTATAAACTGCTCATTTAATGGGTACCCATAATATTAAAAAAATGGTTGAAGTGTGTAACTACAAGTCTGTCTCCTAGCTTTCAATATATAATGCAACATGGTAAGAAGGTTTGAATAATTAATAATTCTTTGGAGGTGTTACCACAGGGATATAAAAATATCAAAGGATAACTTAACATTCTTATCACTGTTAGCATTACCTGAACTGCGGAATTAAGGACTTTCTAGAACTTAACATAGCCTTTTCTACACAGCCATCTGCTAATTAAGAACAGTCATTTATGAGCAGAAGGCTTGCCTGCTACATGCTGCACACTCACCATCCCCATCCATGTTAATCCTATAATTCCAAGCTGCTGACTATGTACAAAGGTTTTATTTCAAGCTTTTTATTCTTGTCATTTTAGGTCTTCCCCCTCATTGCCATAATTACAGTGATACCACAATAGAGCATGCATGGCTTATAATAAGGACTTCATTTTAGTGACAAAAAGCGTTGGAACTCAGCTTTTTAATGTTATGTATGGGGGCTGTTTGGAGTGTAACCTCTGGTGAGCTGTTAACAAAACAAGCAATGAGGAAAAAATTTATTGTATACAAAATTACATACTTAAGCTACTTCTCAACATAGTCACTGCCGGAATTTGTGGCGCTTGTCATTTTGGGGAATATGCTTTTGTATTCCTCTGTCAAAAGTGGTTACTGCCTGTGAGCTTAATCACATTTTGACATGTTCCATTGACTTCTCATTATTGTTGAAGCCTGTGATCCCAGCCAGTTTTTCAGGTAGGTGGGTAGGTAGATAAACAGGTGGTATTTGCTTTGAGCGAGATTAGGGCTATAAGGAGGGTGGTCAAATAGTTCCCAGTTAAATGTTCCACCAGTGCTCGAGTGCAAGCAGCTATATATGAATGCGCATTGTCATGAAGGATTACTACACCGGATGTCAGCATTCCACACCTTTTGTTCTGAATTGTCCTCCTCAATTCTTTAGTGTTTTGCAATACACTTTTGATGTTATTGTGGTTCTTTGTTGCATGAATTCCACCATTAGAAGTCCTTTCATGTCCCAGAAAACAGGTGCTTTCTGGCAGGTAGGTAATGTTTCTTTAAACTTTCTGGGCTTAGTTGGTGAAGTGTGTGCTTCCACTGCTTTGACTGCTCTTTGGTTTCAACATCCACAAATGAAGCCCAGGTTTTATCTTGTGTTAACCCTTTGACGTGGTCATTTAAATTCCGCGGCCGCGGCTCCTGAGGTAATATATTCAGCCGGCCATTTAAATTTTGCTCGAAAATTATTTATTCATCATTGTTCTTAAATTCTATGAGATAGGAACATGAAACTTTCACTAAAATGATCTTAAATTGTGGTTTTATAACCTTACCTTATAATATG